AATAAAATCAACGAAATCTATGGAAAAGTGGGAGAGAGTCAGAAACAGAGTTGGTTCTGCCTTAGTGTTGGTCACCCTCGTGAAACAATGGTACTTATTTTTATCTCTGTAGTATGAATATTGTCAAAAACCCCCAACTTGGCCAACTTGAAACAATGGAACACTTATGAAAACCTTTAGTGAGGCCTTCTGCGAGTGACGTACTCCCAGACAAGACAAGCCCTGATTCAGCTGGGGCCGTCCAGACCGCTCCCCTGGAAGCTCACTTGGGAATTGATGCCCTGGCTTAGCGAGAGAAGGTCCACTCGGCGGGAAGACCCAGGCCCCCTGCCGAAGCTCCTCACAGGACACCTTGCACCAGCCTGCTTTGTCCTTTAATTGGGTGCTAGGCCTTGGGGATGTCACAGAAGTCCAAGACTAGCTTAGGTTCACAGAATTACCTTGATGACCTGATGAAATATTTGGAGTCTGGGTCATCAGCCTGGTCCAGTTCTAGTGTCATCTGGTCTGGCAGAAGCTAGAGCCTGAATCCCAGATCAGGGTGAGGGTCTGGAACTAACTTTAGCCTGTGCAGTTTCTCCAAACGGAGAAGACGAGGCTGTGCATTGATTCACTATAAAACCATTTTCCTCTAAAGTTAAGTTTCATCTTACTCATGAAACCCTCAGCCTGTTTAAATCATTTATAAAACCCTGTTAACTAGCAAATTCACGCTGGGATTTGCCATTGATCTGGTCCATTTGATAAGTCTCAAATAATTCGTGGTATCGTTGTTTGGTTTGCGGACAAACGTTCCCTTGGCTTCAGCTCCCTTGTTTTTCAAGTTTCCTTGGTAGACTGAACTCCTGAAAAATAACCCCAAATGCCTAAAAGGTTTCTTTTTAAAAAAGAAAGACTATTTAGAGTGCTATCTATAAATATATTGTACTTTTTATTTTGCGTAATTTTACATTTCATGAAATGTTAGTTTCAAAGAGAAAGTGGAGAGGAGCTAATATGTCTGTCTAGAAAGAACTGTTTCATTAAAGAATGTGGATTTATGGATGTGTCCTGGGTTTGTATCACTAGTTTGGACAAGAGTGGTCCCCTTGGTGATAATTTCTTCTAATGCCACAAGATTTGAGGATAGAAGAAGGGGGATCTTCTCAGTGGCTTCCTCCTCTCTGGTGAGTACCTGGTGCCTGGTCCAGAACAGAGCTCCCTATTGGACCCAGAAAGTCATGAGCAAAGCTAACAATGGCTTCAAAGTCGCCCCCTTTCTTGAATCCAAACAGGCTGGAAATCTGACCACATACTTGCTGTGGACTGGTTGCTATGGGGAGGGTGCTTCATGTAGTAGACACCACCCGTTTGTCGCTCAGCACCTCTTCCTACTTGTCTCCACCTGTTCCTGTGCCTGAGGACCACCGCTGACATCTAAAACTAAAGGTCACGGCTCCCGTCAGGTGGTCCTCTCTCTCTCTGGGCTCTGGCGGCCACTCCTCCGCCCCCCCTTCAGGCCTAGGGGTGGTAATGACACCCAACTGGTGTAATCCTGGGTCACTGCGTTATCCCCCAAGGAGGATCTTTATAAATAGTCCTTGGAATAAGCCCTCGTCAAATATAGCAAATTGAGTATCTCACGTATTTCCTGTGATACAGGCTCATTTTTAACCCAAGGACAGAGGTTCCATCCAATCAAGCACGGTCTTCTCGGGTTGACCAGTTGAGGAGACCTTAGGGTGTGTTTAGAATTTTGTGGGTCATATCAGGGAAGGGTAATAAGGAACCGTGTTTTTTAGAACACTCAGATTGGTCTTAATGCAGAACGATCTAAATGCAGAACTCTTTCTGCAACTGTTTTGTGCCACACGTGTGGAGTGTCAAGGTTTTAGGACTTTCCTTTTTGCAGTCACCAGTACTTCAAGGATGAGCCCCAATGGGACAAGGGTATGAATGCTTGATGGATCAGTCAGGATAAGGTAGTTTATGCTGCGTCAAAAGCAACCCTCAGATATCAAGAATTACATAGGAAAGGTTTATTTCGTGTTCTTACTACGTGTCCATTTCTGGCATCTGGAAGCTCTTCCACATTAGCCTTGGTCATGACGGGGATGATGACGCCACTTCTACCTGGAGCATTGCTGATTTCTAGATCAGGCAAAGTCTCTGACAACTGCCTAGGAGTGCCATATCAATTCCACTCCCGTGTCCTTGGCCAAAGCAACGCATACAGCTACTCTTAACTTCGGGTTAAGAATGAGATGAACTAGAAATATCTGCTGGACCCCACTAATGACTCTCACATGTGACATTCACAGATAGAGAAATGACCAGAATCTTTCTGTGTGTTTTAACATTTTACTTCATCACTATTTCCTTACTGACAATTTAGATACAGATTTGAAAAAAATCAAGAGTCAGGCCATTGGTCATTTGGCGTGGTCCAGGTTTTTAAACTGACCAGTTATTGCCTGGCAAACCACTCATGTGATTGTACAACTTCAAATGGTGGCAAGATAAAAATGATGAGAGCATCTTTGCATCAGTGGCTGCAATCTCCCACCCACGAAAGGGCATTCTTTCTACAGTTTCTGAGAAGATAATTCCCAGGCCTAACACTGCCAGAGGAGGAGAGACCACTCATCTCACCCATTCCCTCTTCTTTGAGTGATGGTGCCATGTTCCTTTCGCAGAACAAACCACCGAGTCTCCAATCGGAAGGCGTGGCATCCTGGGGCACATGACCCCAGCTAGACCGATCAGATCCTCTTCTTGGAATTGAAGTCTTGATCAAGGGGCGAAAGGGCTGCGATGTGTTGGAGCTCATTTTCCCTGGGGGAATATCCTGAGAAGACAGTGGAAGAGTCTCTGCTGCTGAAGCCTCAGGAGCAGCCTCACTCCGCCTTCCCAGAGCCTCCTTCCCTGGCCCTCTCTTCTTTCCTTGAGCTCTGCTATACCCAGCCAATAAAGCCCCCTTCTTCTTAAGTTAATCACGGCCCATTTGGATGCCTGTGACCAGAGAACCACGACTGGCCCGGACACTTGGCCAGTGCACCACTGACTAGAGGTCTTAGCAATTCTCCTAAAGGAATAACCTGCCCATTGGAGGGAGAGGTGGTGGGCAGTGGGTGTATAGCAAACAGAAGGAGTCAAGAAGGACCTCACCGGCCTTACCCGCCCCCCATAGACAGCCTAGCCAGAGGGGGCGGGGGCCATGAACTAGAGTCCCTGGGTGCAGCTCTGGTCCAGGTGGGGGTCTATGCCCACCATGCCAAGTTAGAGGCTCACTCTGTGCTGGTTGTACTGAATTCATGAGTCTGTCGTTGTAAACCTTATAGCCCCACTTTACAGCTGGAGAGTGAGGCTGGAAGAAGTTACTTTGCTAGCCTAAGACCGTGCAGCTTCCGCAATTGCAGCTGAGGCGTTCAACACAGGCCTGTCTGAACTGTGTCTCCATGACATCCAGACACCAGGACGTCAGCCGAGGCGTCGCCGTGGAGTCTTGGGAGCTGGAAGCCCCGTGAAGCACCGGCCATGTGGGTCCCGCTCGCTCCGGTATCCTCGGGCCTGGATCCCTGCGCCCACGTCCATTTTTCCAGTATCACCTGCCTGAACACACAGGGCCCCTGTGCCCTCCGTGAGCCAAGCCCCAAACCCAGGAGTTAGCTTTCTTCTGCACATTTTAGCCCACTATCAAATCTCACCGCCTTTACCTCCACAGTAAGTCACAGACCCATTCACTGTTCTCCATTTCCACTGCCCCGGTCCCCGGGCGGCCGTCACCAGCGCTCACTTGCTCGCTGCCGGCCGGGTGGCCCTTGTAATCCGGGCTTCACAGGAAAGCCAGGTGACCTGCGTCCACGTCACCTAGCTCCGCTCCCACTTAGACTCCTGAAAGCCGTCCCACGGCTCGACGATGGAAATCTCGCCGTGCCCTGCCATGCTCACCCCATCTGGCCCCTAACTCACTCTGTCTTTTGTTGTTGTTGCTAAGACATTCTGTTTGTTTCCAGTGTAGTTCACATACCGTGTTACAGTAGTTTGAGTTCTACGATATAGCGATTCACCGATTCTGTACATTACTCAGTGCGCATCATAAGTGTGCTCTGAATCCCCATCACCTGTTTCACCCACCCCCCACCCCCTTCCCCTCGGTAACCACCAGTTTGTTCTCCATAGTTAAGACTCTTGTCTCTTTTTTCCTTTTTTCTTTTGTTTTGTTTCTTAAACTCCACACAGGTAACTCACTCTGTCTTACTCCTTCTGAGGTCGCTCCCCTAGTTTATGTTCCTTCAGGACCATGGGCCTCTTTCCGGGCTGTGCCTGCTTCAGCCCTGGAGCTCTGCATATGCTGTTCCCTCTGCTGGGGACCCTCTTGTCTGTCACACACATCTTAAGTGTCATCCCCCAGGGACATAGAAAGCAACTGTTTCCCAGTCACTCCAGTCACTCCTTCTGCTCCTCTCCTAGCGGGTCTCGCTTGTTCTGACTGGGGTCCACCTGTGCTTGCTGGAACATACACTCCCCAAGAGCTGGGGCCTCAGTTGCCTCATCGCCAAGGCCCAGAACCATGCCCAGAAAACCACTTGACATATAGAAAGTGCCAGAAAGATTTGTTGAATCATGAGCAATGCATTCACTTAAGTGATCAGATTTATCGGTCAGAATTCTGTTGTTTTGTCAGCATGGGACTCCAGTTCCCTCCCTGTTTTAAAGAAGCAAATTCCTAACAAAGACCTCATAAAAAATATAAAGCAGTCCCCGTCAGTGGCTTCCTCCAACTCTACAAGGGTCCCCACTCAAAATGTGAGAACAGAAAGGGGGTGAGGCTGAACTCCCCTCCAGGCAGCTCACTGACCAGGGAGTGTGTTCGCCGGGGGGCTACAGCCCGGCCTCCAACACCCCTCCCGCAGCCATCCTCTGTGTTGATGCTGTTGGTGTGCTGATCCCACGGAGGCTGGGGCAGCGGGCCACGCGGGAGCCGGCAGCGGGGGAGGGTGCGGCCGGCCTCAGCCTGCGGATCCCATTGCTGCTAAAGAGCTGCTGGCCACAGAAGCCACCGAGCTCTCGAGCCAGCCGTGGGTTCTTTGCTGAGATGGAGGCGTAGCTGAGGAAGGAGCCTGGAAAGTAAGAGGGGAAAAAGAAAACAAAGAGGATGGGTGATGGGGCCATCCACAGCGGCCACGAAGCAGACACCACCTCCCTGAGGGGTGGGCAGGCGACTCGGCTACTCCCCTGACCATAAATGGCTTGGCTGTCATGGAGCCACCCCTTGCCCTGTCACCCTGGCTCTCCCAGCTGGATGCTCCTACAAATGTGATACATAGCCTACCACACAAGCAAGAAAGGAGCTTGCCCAGGGTGGTGCTGGGAGAAGGTTCTTGGGAGGCTGTCAGACATGGTGAGTAGGCTAGCATGTTTTCTCACCCTAACCTTCCCTTCTCGCTATAAAAAACAACTCCAGGCATTGAAAACTCACATCTCCTCATGCAAATATGACGGTACAGTTAGTACTAGGACTTCAAGGGGCTTGGGTGGTTTTTTTTAATTATTATCTTCCTGTATGCAAAATACTAATCATTAAAACAATTCTCATCTAATATTTGCTGATCTCATCTTTTATTTTAATATTAAGGTTTCGTGTTTAAAACCCCACATACAACAAGGGCGCAAAGTAGATGTTTTGGCTAAATTCATTTTCCAGTTGAAGCAGTGGGTGGGATCCACGCCTTTATCCTCATTTGCTCAGTCTGCCTTCCGTTATGTGATCAGCAACATAGATACTCAGAAGTTGCACTGGAAACGTTCCAATTTTCTTACTGACTTGTGACACATGTTTGGGTGTGACTCAATCAAATGAAGTTTGTTACGTTAGAAGAGACTTCTGGGGTTCCTTTATTAAAGAGATTATGAGAAGGAGTTGAATTCTGGCTTTGGACTTAGAAAGATCCATGATCTAACCAGTCCCAGACCACTTACCAGCAACTGTCTTGCTCTCAGTCCCCACACCCACGACGTAGGGATGATACGTTCCCCTTACGGGACGGTTATACATGCGGTGTCTGACACACAGCGTCCCCTCAAGAACAGTGAGCAATTATCCTGTCTCTCCCTCCTTCTCACAAATGGCAAGCTCATAATGAGGACCACTTGGCCACTGAGATCCTCATGTGCCTTTAGAGTTGTTATGCAGAAATTACAGAGGGCTTGGACTAGCAAGCAATGCATTATAGCAAATTCAGTACTTGGAATATTGCTAATCTATGCATGCAGTTCCATCCAATAAGAACTTCCCAAGTGGCTTCCTTGTGCCTTGCTCCGTGCTGGCCAGGCCATGAAGAACATGACATCGTGTGACCCCCCTGCACTGCTACACACTCAGAGCATTTTACAGTTTGGATGTTGTTCCCTTTGGGCTTCTGGGCAAAGCGAGTTAACATCATCCCTGTTTTAAGCCTGGGAAAATAGATTTGCTGCGAGGAAATGGAGACCAGAGACTTCGAGTCACTTTTCCAAGGCCACACAGTTCCTAAGTGACTGGGTCTGGACTGGAACCCAGATCAGGTGACTCCAAGCCCAGGGCTGCCTCACCCCACCCAGCGGCCTGTCTAAAGAACACGACCTCAGAGTCTCCCCACCCAAACTGATGGGATGTTTTTCTGGCCACGAGGGCACTGGAGTGTTATTTCTACAAAATATGAATGTTTTTCTGAAATTGGCCAAAATCTTCGTCATCCAGATATTGATAAACAGCACACACAATGGCCCACTTGCTGCTGCTCCCCCTCTTTTGCTGTCCCCCCAAAGGGAGCTTTGTCTTGGGCCTGCTGACATCAGTACCCAGTATTCACTGATGAGATAAGGCTCTGGGCAGCTGCGTCCCATACAGTGGCCACCACGTACCCTTGCAGCATCTGTGGGCGTGGTTGGTGTTAGCACAGAGGGCAGTGGTTGGGTCCCTTGAGTAAGAAGCCCCGGAGCCAAGGTGGCCCAGATATTCCTCTTGCTCTAATATTGTCCTAGAAGAGTGTTTATCTTGGTATCAGTAAAGAGCAGCCTGGACAGACTGGCCTCGGCTAGCCCAGACTGCAGGGACAGAAGATGGGGACAGGGAGGAGGAAGGAGCCGCGGGAGGCTCTGCACAGGCTAACAGTTCGGTGCCCCACGGAGCTCACGACCTTTCAATATTGACTCCATATTTGGGGGAGAGGTGAGGCTGGGTGCTGAGTGAGGGGAGGGTGCAGAGGGTTACCCTCTCCTCTGTTGTCCTGAGCAGCTCTGCCCGAGCCTGGAAGCTGTGTCTCAGACTCAGTACGCACAGAAGCCTTGTCCTTCTCACGCCCTCTCCCCCGGGGAGGGAGTTCAGAGCAGGTGTTCTTGTTGGAGCCTGCCCCTCGTGGCCCTTACTTCCTACCCCGAGCAGGAAGTACCAAGTACTTCTAAACTCACACCATTCCCTCCCTCAAAGGAGCTCTGGGGGAAAACAACTTTCAGTGCTTTGCTGTATTTCTAACATGGTCTTTGCTGCCCTCTGAGTTGGGGCCCATCAGGCAATCACTGGCTGGCCCCTTCATCAGGCCCTGGCTGGGCATCTGAGGAGGGGAGAGGGGCCGAGATTGGGAGCAGAGGTTGGGGTTTGACTGAGCCTGTGGAATCAGTGAATTTTTCTGTGACCCACCAGGCTGGGTGACAGTTGGTAGAGGGGTCAGGAGCCTGGCTGACCATTCTCAGAGCGTTAATGTTTCCTTCTCTCCATCAGAGTTTCTCACTGAACTTCACACTGCGGGCCAACACGGTAAGTGCTGCAGGCCCCAGTCACCGGGCAAGTGGGGCAAATGGGCACACTTGCCTGGGGGTGGGGTGAGGAGGGGCGGGCAGAGCTCCTTCACGTGGACCTCATGCTGAGGGCCGAATCCCAGGTTTTCAAAGGCACTTATGAACAGTTGTGGTGTGGGGGGAGGGGCTGGGACAAATTTTTTCAATAATAAAAATTATAAATAAACATTTTGAAAGTAAAATAAAAAAATCAATAATAAAAAAATAAATAAAATGCAATCTGAGCAGGGGAAAAAAAAAGAAAAAAGAAAAAAAAATCAAAACACCTAAATTCCAATCAGGAGAAAACATTGGTGTCACTCCTTCTAGTCCTGTTTGACTTTACCTTTATTTTGACTTTACATATATTTTGATATGTGTTGTCTCTGTACCATTGTATTCTTACTCTACATATGATTTTATATAGATTTTATGATACATATTTTCCATCAGCCCTTATAACCACAACTGAGGATAGTCACGTGATATCATTTCTTTAATCTTTAATCTGTTAGCCACAATTAGGAATCATTTTGTAATGAAAATAGTTATAGCTAAATCCTTGTCTGCATTTAAGATGATTTCCTTAGTGTATGTTCTAGAAGGCGTTGCTGGGTCAACAAGAATGAACAGTGTATGGCTCTTGATTATGGCATTTAGTTCCAAGTTAGATGGAGATTGTCAGTTGCTGAAGGCATATAGTTTCAGTCCTTTGCTGATCTTCTGTCTTCTGCTCTCATGTTGTGTTAGAGATCCAGGCCTGTTTTCTGACCCGTAGTGCGGCTATGATTGAGCCAAGCATTTTCCTGGCCGGGTTTTTTAGTGGGTTTGGTTGTGCCAAATTTTCCTGAGAAGTTACATTGTTATTCAAAGAGAATAAATGGAATCTGCCTGGTGAGAGGATGCAGACGGCCAGTGATCATTGTTATTGTAATGCGGAGACGTGGTCCTGGAGGGCAGCGGAAAGGGGCCACCTTGTGACTCACTGCCTGCCTCTGGCGCCCACTACTGGCCGCCCTGGATCTCTGTTCCTGGCCTCCCCGGGCACCCACTCTGCCCTGGGGTAGGGCCCTGCCTTCGGGATCTCCCTGTCTTGCTCTGCTCCCTGCTTCAGCCTCTGACTGTTGTCAGACTCCCCTAGCCCTCTCTGTACCTGTCAAAACCTTTTGATATGGTCCCTGCTGGAACATTCTCCCTCACTGCTTGAACTCAGCAGGTCTGTGGAGACCCCAGGTTCTGTCTTATCCTGGCTTGGCCTACCCTATGAGGGTAACTCAGAGAAGCTCGGGGCGGTGGAGGTGAGTGGGGCTGGGAGGGAAGTCCTTATGATGCTAGTCATCGCCTTTTGTAATGCCTTCTCTGTTAATAGCCCATTTCTCTGAGAACCTTCCCTTCCTCCCTTTGGACCTGTGTAGGGCAACCAACCATCCCAGTTTGTCTGGGACTGTCTGGGTTTAGCAGTGCACGTCCTATATCCTGGGCAAGTTCTCTGGATGGTTGGTAACCCTATCTGGCAGTTACATTCTATTGCATAACCCTTCCTTTTTGGGGACACCTGGTGGCTCAGTCGGTGGAGCGGTCTGCTCTCGATTTCGGCTTCCGTCATGATCTCAGGGTCCTGAGATCGAGCCCTGGGTCAGACTCTACACTCAGCGGGGACCCTGCTTCAGGATTCTCTCTCTCCTTCTGCCCCTCCCCCTGCTCACTCGCGTGCACTCTCTCTCTCTAAAATAAATAAACGAAACTTAGGAAAAAATAAATAAATAACCTTTCCCCTTTGGTGCAGATGAACGACTGGAATGCCAGTACCCTGGGAAGTAGGGGAGAGGTGAACACCTGGTTCATCAGAGCCTATCTGCAGGGGGGTTTGGAACCGGGGTACATATGCAGGTCGGTCTCTGCTAAGCCATACTGAAATGTCAAGGACAAAAACTGAATTGGCGTCCTGCATTTGGTCACGGAAGGCAGTGCAGCCCCGTGGTGAAGAGCATGGACCCTGGATCTACCACGTAGGGCATTTTGGCATTATGGCTTAACCTTGGATGGGCTGTTTGTATAATGCGCACTGTGTGGTGGTGTTTTTTTTAAAGATGTATGTTCTTTTCCCACACAGACTTCCTCCCCACCTGCTACAAGTGGGAAAGAAGCAGTAAGTATATCACTACATTATGGAACCTTGGTTTGGTCGCTTATAAAATGGGGATAATAATGCTCTAGCCATTTCCGACCTTAGTTTTGAGGAGTAAAGTTCAATACGTGAACTGTCACCAAACACAGAATCTGGCTCAATGATTATTCTTACAACCAACTCAGCTCAAAAATGAGGGAGAGCATGCAGGAATCACAGGCAATTTTCACAAAGTGTTAAGCAGAAAAAGCTAGACATAAAAGAGTACAAACTTTTCATGTCCATCTAGGTGATATTGGAAAACAAAAACAAAACTAATCTACAGTGACGGAGTTCAGGATAGTGGTTACACATGCCATTTCTGGAAGGGAGTATGGGGCAACTTCTGGGGTCCCGGCCATGTTTTGAGTCTTCATCTGGGTGCTGGTTAGCTGTGTGGGTTCCACATGTGAAAAGTCATCCAGCTATATATTTATGATTTATATACTTTCCTGTATGTATGTTATATATGAGAGTTGAGTGTTTATAGGGATTCTGCAGGTTATCTTTGATATTTCCAGGTAATCTACAAATCTGAAAATTTAGGTGGAGACAAGCATGGCCGTTTCCACTCAGATCAAAGCAAAACGGAAATTTGAAAATTAACTGCTTAATGCATATAGTGCAGGTAAATGTAAACATTCACACCAAAATGATGTGGGATATAAGTTTTTACTTTTTGCCAAACTGATAGGTTAAAATAGTATCTAATAGTTGCTATGAATTGTTTCTCAGCTTTTGCTATGTTGATGAGACACCTGTATTTCTGTTTGTAGGAATGGCCTATTCATACCCTTTGCCCATTTTTCTTACTGGATTGTCACCCTTTTCCTATTGATTTAAACTATGTAAATTAAGTCCTATGACATGAATCATTTGTCATGTGCATTGCAAACATCTTTTCTGCAGTATTTTATTAACCTTTTAATTTTGTATATGACACTGAGAGGTTATGCAGTTTTTGTTTTGTTTTATTTTTAATCAACTGGACTTGCCCTTTATTCTTGGAGAACCTGACTCTGCCCTTCTCTGTATGGCAGGACTGTGGGCCCTCTCTTGGATTAGCAGCAGGCATCCCGTCCCTGGTGGCCACAGCCCTGCTGCTGGCTTTACTATTTATGCTGATCCGCCGAAGAAGAAGCAGCAATGAGCCCACCGAGGTGAGTAGCAAGCTCCTTTGGGTCTGGCCGTGTTGGCAGGAATCAGTATTTCAGTGAATTGGCTTTGGACTGAGGGTGTCAGGATCCAAATCTGTTTCCTGGGGACACAATGGTGGAAGTTTCCTGCTCCTCAATTTCTATCTCAGACTCATGATACTACACTCCAGGCAGAGCCGATCTGTCACCCAACCTTCACTCTAGGAAATCCGTGGCAACAAGGCTGGTATTTGGGGTGGCAGAAAGTAGTTGTGGAGAGGGACAGGTGTTGCCATGGCAAATGCACATCTGTACTGTGGATGTGTTCTAAAGTCAAGGACAAAAGGGCCCAAGCTTCAAAAGAGAGTGGGACAATCTCAGGAAAGGTAGGAGACAAACAAGTGCTGAGGGGTCTATGGTAGGGATAGGCCCACAAGTATGTGGCTCTGTTTATCTTTGCCCTTTTTCTACATCAGAACACACATCAGTCACAAGAGAATCTACCAACCCCACCCCTCCAAATGCTGGATTGCTCTGGAGACCAGGCTCAGAATTCAAAGGCCACCCAGACAATATCCAAGAGATTTCTCTGGTTATAATACAACTGTGTTTTGTGGACTCCAGGCTCTAATTCCCTCCTCTATGAACAATTCTGGTTTTTCTCATACTGATAAGCATTAATGCGAGAAAGACAACCTAGGCTCTACCCCTGGCCCTGCCACTTAATGATTTATGTGATCCTGAGCAAGTGACTTCACACTTTCTGTGCCTTGGCTAGTTCTTTCCAAAATAGGAGTCATAAACACTACCCTCCCTATTTTAGGAGGTTGTGAGGATGGACTGAGATCATGGTTGTAAAGATGTGTTGACAAACTGTAAACTTTAAACATGTTAAGGTGTATTGTGGTTGGTGGTGGTGCTATTTATTTAATTCATAGTTCCTTAACCTTTGGGGCACTTTAAAAATCATCTAGGAGGCTACCAAAAATACCAATCACCAAAACCAATTAAATTAGTATCTCTGGACGATAGAGCTGTGGCATGCAGAATTTTAAATATATACTAAAGTAGAGAGGATAGTATAATGAACCCAATTATCAAAATGTGGCCAATCTTGTTTGATCTCTACTCCTACCCACTTCTCCCCACTGTCCAATCCTGGATTATTTTCATTTACAATGGTATTTCTCATTTAAGGATTTTTTTGGGGGGTAATTATTATCTGTTTGCTTACTTTGTTTTGTTTTTAAAGCCGTCTAGTGATTCTTATGTGCATGCAGATTTAAGAACTGCTGATTTTAATCATGATCATGGGCAAATGCTGTGACCCTTCATTTCTTCTTCATTTCTTAATTTATTTTTACCAACTTAGGAAAGTGAGAGACCATGTGAAATTTCAGAAATCGATGACAATCCCAAGATTGCTGAGGTAAGAACTCTTGGTTAAAATCACTGTATATCAATGGGGCCCCTGGGTAGCTCAGTTGGTTAAGTGCCTGACTCTTGATTTTGGCTCAAGTCGATATCAGGGTCATGAGATCGAGCCCCATGTCAGGCTCCATGCTCATCGGGGAGTCTGCCTGAGATTTTCTCTCTCCCTCTCCCCCTCCCCACTGTGCTCTCTGTCTCTCTGTCTCTCTCGCAATAAATAAATAGATCCTAACAGATTTTTTTTTTCATGGAACTCAATAAGATACTCCTAAAATCTATATGGAAGAAGGCAGAAAAATATTTAAAAAGTAGTAATGAACAGACAGAACAAACAGAAAACAAATGGGAAGATGGTACATTTCTAAATGAACCATACCAATGACTTCATTAAATATAAATGGTCTAAATACCCCAGTTAAGAGGCAGAGATATAAAAATAAAAAATTTTTTTTATCAGTTTGGATATAAAAACAAGATCCAGCTGTATACTGCCTGCAAAAACTCACTTTAAATATAAAGACACCAATAGATTAAGGTAAAAGGAATGAAAAAGGAATACCATGCTAACATTAAACAGAAGACAGTTGAGTGGCCAGAAAAAATCTGCCAGGGCATTAAACTTGGCAATTGTAGGCCTCCTCTCATTTGTTTTCTGTCTCTCAAGAATTACATCCTTCCTTCCCTGATGTCCAGCATCTTGATAACTATTGTTTTAAACGTGTTTTTTTTTTTTTCTTTCTGACTTTTGGTTGTTTCAGGTGGGAGGGTAAATCTGGTTGTTGTTGCCCCATTTGGGCCAGAAGCAGAAGTCTTTGCTCTATTTTTTTAAAAACCTGTTTATTTTCTCAAGAATCCTAGGAGGTCACCCACACATGAGAAGAATCTGATGGGAGCAGAAGGAACCCACATATATGTGAAGACTGTAGCAGGAAGCAAGGAGCCCATGCATGACACTCACCGTCCTACTGTCGAAATGGAGAGAAGGAGGGGATTGTGGTGGCTTATGCCCAGATTGAGCCTGGAATGATGCAGTTTGGTCAAGGAACAGATCTAGAGCTAGAACAGAGCTGAAAACCCAGGGATCTGTGCTCAGAGTGAGGAGAGATACTAAGCTGCTTCTTAACCAATCTAAATTTCCTTTGCAGATCTGGAAAACTTTTGGGTTGGTTTGTCTCTGTAGGTGAAAGAGCTAAGGACTCATTCCAACACTCAGATCTTGTTGTTTAATAAGCAGTGAAGCACCAAGTGAGGTCCAGAAGGAGCCCTTTGATCCTAGTCTTGACCTATGCTTTTCTTTATGATTTTGGGAAAGGGGCTTGATTTCTGTGTGTCTTGTCTTATCATCTTTTTTCCACATCTCTTTTCTCAAAAAAACAAACAAAAACAAAACAAAACAAAAAAACCATCACACCTGGCTTCCATGGGAAGGTTGGCCAGGGCTAACATTGTGCAAGTTGGGATATAAATAAAACTTAAAGGGGATGTTTGAGGGAAAGCAATTTCTTATTTCTGAACATCTCAAGGAAGAAATCATGTGGAGTCATACGTTCCCTGACCACAGGGGTAGCACATAGCTGGATCATTCATTGCTCCCATTTGTGTTTGTGATCAGAGAGTACATAAGGAAGGTGATTCTACAATACACTCTGTGTGTGTGTGTGTGTGTGTGTGTGTGTAGGGTAAATACGGTAGAGTAGTGAAGGCAAGGGTTGTTACAAGAGATTATTAGAAAAGAAGGCTATATCCATTTTGTGGGAGTGGAGAAAAAGGCCTCCACTGCACTTTCCAGGGAGAGAGAGTGAGAAGACTCAAAGTGGATGAACACAGGACCAGAGGGGTGGGCTAAGTAGCAATTTGCTTGCCATCTGAGGAAAGTCTGTGAACAGCATCAGCTGGCTCAGGTCAGGCCTTCACCAGGGCTTCTGTGAGGAGGCTTCCAGGAGTCCTGGTTCCCTCATGCAGGGAGGGCCACTCCTGGTGAACAAGCAGAGTCTCCTAGTGGGAGAACCTGGGTCCATAGCATCTCAGGATCCATCTACCAACTCCGCTTTGATAGGCCGTGGAGGCGTTTCTTTCTCACACAGGGCCTCTGATTGCTCAGAAACAAGTCCCCTCTTCTTCAAACAACTAAGAACAAGTTCTACAAACTCAATTACTGCCACCTGCCAACATGTGCTTTCAAGGCTGCCTCCCTTACCCTGGGTGTCCTAAGATGAAAAGACCAAGAGAGAGCATCTCCCTGAGAGAGAAAGGGCCACTAAGATCCAGAGAGAGACTCAGAGATAGAAAACAGGGGAGATATTCCTTCGGCATTTAGGAAATTGTACTTCTGAGTGAAAGCAGTGGGAATACATCCTGTGTGTGGCCTTGTGCTGGGACGCCTAGAGAACAGCTCCATGATGACAGAGAAGCAGACTATGACCTGAGCAGAGTGGGTCTAGAGTTAGTATGCCATCCCCCAAAAGCTCCAAAAGGGACCTAGAACCCCCTCCAGAATCTCTGATTTTCTAGTTAAATCTGTTTCTCTCCTCAAGATAAGTCTTCAACTCTTCGTTTTCATTTTGTTACATTTTTGTTTAGAATATTTTTATAGTATTTGAGTGAAAAAGAAGACTCCACCAACTCTTGTTTCCTCCTATTTTTATTGCAAATGTACAGTATCTCAGCTACACTGTGGGAAAAGTGGGCTTTGATGAGCTTCCCCGAAATAAGCCACCAATTTCAACATCATTTCTATGGAAAAATGCATTGTGAATTCTAAGCAACGGTCATATAAATGGCCTACTAGAGCATAACCAATTACCAGGTGTGGCCTTATCAAGTTTCCAAAACTATTCCTAAGGGCAATCTGCATTTCAATAAGGCTTAAAGAATCTCATATTTTCCTAAGGCATCTTTACTACAATATGAAGCATGATTTATTTAACCTGAAAAAAAAGCTGAAAAAAAGTTGACAACTTTTTCTAGGCATTTCTTTCCCATGGTTCAATGTAATCCAATCCCAGATGTGCAAAAATTTCTTCTTCACTTTCTGCTTTGAGGAATATTTTCTGAAAGTATAAAAAGAAATATGTGCGTTCAGATATTTTTAAACATCTTGATGCTGACATAGTGGAAGTTTTACTTATAAATTGTCTTGGCAGAATGAATTATTACAAAAACATAATTCCCTGCTTCTGAGTATAAAAAGTCATCTTAACTGCTTTTTTTAATCTTAACTGACTTCTGTAATTTTTACATTTTCCCACCCAAAAATTTGGTATTTCACAGATTAAGGTAAAATTATGACAACCTTACATATTTAGCTACGGGCATTTGGTATTTTTCCTATGGGTCTGTAGTTCTCAACCACAGTTGTGCATTAGAACCACCTGAAGGGACGTCTAAAAAAACATTGAGCTACACCCCAATCCAGTGAAATGAGAATCTCAGGAGAGGTCCTATCACCAATCTATTTAAAGGCTCTGGGTAATTATCATGTGCAGCCAGAATGATGCACTGCTGCTCCAGGTAACAAGGAGAGGCAATTATAGGTTACGTGTATATGTTGGGTTCTCCTTCTAGCCTTCCTCACCTGCCCCACCCCAACCCCCACCAGGCTCCCACCCCATGATCTCTTTTAGATCAAGCACCACTTCTCCGTCATCCCTTCTTGCCTTTAGCACAGTATGGGGCATATAAGATGTACTCCATTATGTTAAACTATTTAGAATGTGTTCATTTGTAAGCATTCCTAAATTGTGTTATGTGAGTCTGCCTCCACTCACATGCTTGACATCTGAGGTTTCCCTGCCAATCTACAGTCCTCTCATCTGACAGCAGCACCTTGATTTTTCTTTGGAAAACCACCCTTCCTTCCTCTCCGTCCATGAGGATCAGGTGTGGGGTTAATTCCATCTCCAAGGAGGGCCACATGATCCAACCCTGACCAATCAGAGCCACGGTAAAGGGTTCAGGGATGGGCACACGGCCCAGGCCTGGCCAATGAATATCAGCTAGGACTCTTGATATTTCCTATTAGGAAAGAGGTTCTTCTCTGTCAAGCTGGAAGGATGGGAATCATGGGAAACTCATGCCTGAGAATGAAACCAACACTGAGGGAAACCTGCATTAGCAGCTGGATGCAGCCACACCTGAAGTCAGTATTACCCCCAGATGCTGCTGTATATAAGCCAAGCACCCCTTTTTTGCTATGCCATCTTGGATTGGGTTTCTGACTTGTAACTGAGATAGCTCTAACTAAATACAGCTCATTTAGACTGTAAGCTCCTAGAGCGTAAAGATCATTGCTTCTAGTTATTTTGTGTCTTATTCCCCTCAGAGCTTAGTTTAGTGTCCTTGACCACTGTAAGAACAGTAGACCTTAGCATGTAGATTTAACAGATGAATATTTAACTCTTCATAATTCATACAGTAATTTATCATTTTGATGAGGCATGAATTTGGATCATGACCAGTGTAAGGCTAACCAAGTGAGTTATATAGCTGGTCGGTAAGCTTAGCTGACTGCTCATCTAAATCTCAGGGCAGCTCTGTTGCTCTCTCTCTTGCAGTAACACTCTCATTAATGACCTATGTGGTCACTTAAAATGCTACTGCTCATTGCATTTAAGGGGTACTTTAGTGGTATTTATGACTTGGGGGAATCCTTGGTTTCCTTTGGAATTATTCACTAAAAATACCAAAGATATACCAGACTCAATGAATGTTCACTGCTGGACTGGTTCTGAGGGCCCAACAAGCTCATCATCTTTGAGCCCAAAGCCCTTGAGGTACATTCTGGGCCAGGTGGGGACCATGCTCCCATCAGGATCCTTCTAGCTGCCCTCAACTCTGATCTGTGGGAACAGGACACTCAGGGCAAAGGAAACTGAACCTGGACGCTAAAATCCGTTCAGAAAAAGTGCTCGGGGAGCCAACCATTGGGATGAGGATTAAAGAATTCCATCTTGGGTAGACAACACTACCTTGGTCTTGTCATACAATGCATGGTTATCCAGCACCATCTTCCGCTCATGTGTGGCATAGCGCCGGAGGTCTCTCTCAAACTGCTGGACGAGATATAATTAAAATAAATTACTATCAAGCCTAGAATGTCTTCAGTATTATGTGTTTAGAGATATCTAAATCTCTACAGTGAAATCTCTCTAAATATTCTCAAAGCAATTTTCTCCCCAAGGGCAAAGCTCCGTGATGACAGAGCTCTGTGCTTGCACCTGCACACTAGAATGTAAGCTCCCTGAAAATAGGAGCCTGACTTGTTCATGACCATATTCTCTTCTCTTATAGTGCCTGGCACATAGAAGATGTACAGCAAGTGTTTGTTGAATGAATAAACAAATGTTGTGAGGATCGTGTCCAGGATAATACCTGGCCCCAAGTAAATGCTGGATAAATATAGTAGGTGTTTTTTGTTTTGTTTTGTTTTTTGGAATATCACTATTGTAAGAGAGGATGAAGAGTCAGGAGACCCAAATTCCAGCCTGGATTTTGTCCCTATTTGGCTGTGCTTCTTTTGGCAGGTCACCCAGCTTCTCTGAATCTTGACTGGTCGAACAGGAAGGAGGATGAAGGAAGTACGTAAGGTCCCCTCTGGCTCTAACAGTCTCTCAGATGAGATTGTGTAAAACTGATGGTTTGAGCCACCTGTCCCAGACTAGCATGTCCTATGGTCAAGGGTGGGCTCTGAGGCTGCAGGGAGCGAAAGCTGAAGCCTAAGATAGAGGACAGTTGCCGTTCAGGTTGATTTTCCTGAGAGAAGCACAGATCTAGAAACGTTAATCCTCCCATGTGAGAGTAGGAGGAAAGCATGGGATAATGGCGCCTTCTAGTGGGAGGAGCCGTCTCCTACTTTAGGAAAGCTGGTCGAGGCTGGGACCTTCCCCACCACCACCCCGTGTGTAAGAAAACAGACTTTCCAAACAAAAGTCCTTTATAATGTGCCAGAGGAGGAGGCAGGGTTGTGGACAAATCAGGGTGAAGCAGATTCTGGGTGCAGAGGCTGCTCGTCTGTGAAAATATGAGGGTGCTCAGCGCTGCGCTTCCTCCCAGCCCTGGGACACTCTCTTCATGCCCCTCTCCACGCACCCCCCCCAACCCCCCAGATTTAGAGCAATGCTGCTCACACTGTGTTGGGAAAAGCTGGGGAGGATGAGGATAATGGGGTTAGCGAGAGACTGTTATGTGTGGTGACAGATACATTCCTGGACACCTCTGCTAAAACCTCAGAACATTTCCCCAGAGACTGCAAGAAATGATAATGACGTCTTTTTTGGGGGAATAATGATATTTACTAAACACATATTTACTGAGCATCTGCTATGTGCCAGGTATGTTCTATGTGCTTGGAGCATAACATGTCTACCCTGGTGGAGCTTGGATTTGAGCAGGGAACACAGAAAAGACACAATAATGGAATAAATAAAGTATAGGATATGTTGAAAGGTAAGGGCTGTGCACAGGGCAGGCCTCACTGAGAAGGTAGGGATTTGAGCAAGGAATTGAAGTAGGTGAAGGAGTTAGCCAAGTAGACTCTGCGGGGAGAGCACTCCAGCAGACGAACAGCTAGAACACAGCCTTAGCGTGAAACGAGCCAGGCCCATTTAGGGAGAGCAGTAGGCGAGGAATTCAGAGGCATAAGGGGGTGAGAGGATCATGCGGGGTCGTAGGACTTTCCACGTTTACTCGGAGTTAAATGGGGAGTCTCTGCAAGGTTTTGAGCAGGGGAGGGACCTGATCTGATTTATAACAGGATCACTCAGCTATACTGGGTGAGGGCAGAAGCAGAAAGACCAGTCAGGAAGGCCACGGCTATGAGCCAGGCAATGATACCCTTCTCAGTATTTGTGGAGAGCTCACTTTATGCCAGGCACTGGGCTGATTTCTTGCTTTATATTAATTTTCTGATCTGCTCTATTGCCGTTAATATTTAACAACTTCTACAAGAGTCTAAAAGACTCTTTAAGTACCTTGAAGGGAACAGTTTTAAGTACACAGTTGGACTCAGAATTGTGCTGAGACAAGAGTATTGTCTCATTTAATGCTCATTACAATCCTGTGAGGGTGGGGCTGTTATTAGCCCATTTTTCAGATGAAGAAGGGATGCCCAGAGAGCTTAAGTCATTTACCCGAGGCCACACAACCACTGATAGAGCTAAGGACCTAGACTCCTGAAACCCAAAGCTCAGGCACTTTACCTGAGACAGTTCTGCCTTCTGCTTTAAAACCTCTTTAGTTTCTCATAATGACCCTGTGAAACAGGCAGGGCAAGGACAATGTCTTATGTTTCAGATGAAGAAAGCTGAACATTGAGTAGAGGTGATGGTATCGGGCTGGCTGTAACATTGGTCACAACAGACTTCAGAGATTGGTCCAGGGCTGCTGCATACAGTTGTGCAAGTTGTGCACTGCCAAACTCTCAAAGGCACCATTCACATTTGTAGGCCCCAAATTGAGGTGAGATTAATAGATGAATTGTGTTGAGAATAATTCCCAGGCCCTGAAATCTTTGGATAAAAAGGTGAAACTGAATTTCTCACCTACAGAATTTTAGACTAGAACTAATTCTGGTCACCCACCAACAGGTATCGACCTGGAGACAAAATATACCATATTCAGTGGCTGCCTAAGTAGGGCATAAAGATAATAACCCAA